GGGATTTTTTTCCCCCCCCCCCCCCCCCCATTCCGAAACCTACTTTTCCCTTCTATATATTTACTTTTATTCACTGTGAAGAGGGGATTTTTGGGGTTGGAAAAATCTTTAACTGAGAAAGGGAACAACATAGCAAAATAGCTATAGAACATACACTAAATATATTCGAAAGAGGGAAAAGGAATTTTTTTTTTTTTTTGTTCAAGTCTCATTTGTCTAGCCTGATTATCATCGATCTTCAAAGTTAGTCCGGATTTGGGTTGCTGCCCAGGTCTCTCACTGGCTGTTCGGTTTGCGTTTGTGTGGTAAAACTCGTCCCCTGTTCGCTCCGTCCCAGTCCTGCTGCCCAAGAAGAGGTAATGTCTCATCTATAATACTCTCTTCACTTTTTTTTGCTTTGACATGGTGTCTCGACGTAATGAATTCACTACTTTGTTGTTGTGTTGCTATTAATTGATTTTGATGGACAGTAGCTTGTATATGCTATACATGTATGCTTACGTGATCACTTTTTGTTTTTGCTTAAATTTTTGCCACTTTAGCTTTAGTATGATTGATTCTATGCTTCACTGTTCAAGTTTATATAGTCTTCTGCTTCGTTTGATATTTGAATGTCGTTGAATCTAAGTTATTTCGATCATACTGTCGTCAAGTATCATGTGTCCTGTATTTAGTTTTGTTGCTGTTAAGATTGTTACTCACATAGGTGTATGGATTTCAAGATTAATTGGTATGTTAAATAGTATGTGGTGTAGTTGCATTTTATTCCAAAGTATCAACTTTTCTTTGTTTCTTGAATCCCTTTGTTGCCTTACGGCCAAGAGTAACCCATTTTGAGCCATTTTTATATCTTCATTTTTGCTAAGTTTGTGGTCAAATGTATACCTCTATTTTGCAGTTGAGTGTCCATTAAATAGTAAGCTTTGTAGAATGCTTAGGAATGTGTTTAGCCCTTGGTGTTGATCGGTTTGCTGCCTAGAGTATTCTATGTATATCTTTTGAGTTGATATTGGTTGTTGGTTAATTATCCCCTATAATATTGCCTGATTTCGCTGCCCCCTTTCCGAC